TCGTGGAAGAGATCTAAGTATATATATGCTATAAAAAAGAAGAAGACAGGTGATGGTTTCGATACAGATTTTAGACAATTTAGTGTGATCTAAACATCCATACAGTTTCTTCAGAAACTTTATGCAAAACATTTTACTGGTAAATACAAATAAAAGAAGCGCCCAATAACTGGAGTGAATTATATATATAAAATTATATTAAATAATACTCATCGAACCGATTATATATTCGAATCTACTTTGTAAGATCTCTATGTACTCACAACGAGATTACCTGTGATCCTGTCATCCCACGAGAATGAAGCACCAAGTAATGTCTTGACCCCTCAGTTCAAGGTGACCATCTCGAAAGATAACTGCTACGACAAATGTAAGGTTAGCTCGCCACCTTTTGAAAACCTTTTGTTTAATTAAAAAAGGTTTCCAAACCTTGCCCAGTTCTAGAGAACCTTTAACAGTGTCTTGGATTCTCTATAACGTACTGCAACTCGGTCAATAACTTAAAGATGAAATAAAAAGGGTTCTTACGGTCATTAAAAACCTGGAAAAGTCATGGAAATTCAAAATGCTAATTCCAGGCCCTGGAAAACTTTGGAAAACAATATTTTTTCCAAAGTTTTGAAAAAGTCATGGAAATTTAACTAAAATTGCATGAAATATAATTTATATTTTATCTAATCGCCGAAATAGTAATACTATAATGATAATAAATACTGTATCGTATGGATTTGTTTTAGATAGGCACAACATGTTTCATATGCAGACCTTATTTTCCTGTTCCATGTTAAAATAAACCATTTTCAGTGGTATCGCTGAGAAAGAGTAATTTTTTTGGACATGGAAAATTAGGTAAAGGTCATGGAGAAGTCATTGGTGAAAAAGTGTATGAACCCTGAATAGAGAGTGCAGACTGGAACACACTATTAATTATAAGCGTTAAAATACTCAAATTATGGTGCAATATGGCAAAATGTCCAAATGATCGTACCAATACGATAAGGATCGTACGTTATGCGACGCCGCTGAACAAACCTTGTGAAGTTTATTTTTTTTATAATAAGGAAAATACTCCAAAATAATTGAAATGTTTAGTTAGATAAGGTATAAATTGCAGAAACTACTAATGTATTTCTTCAAATGTTTTGAGTGTTTTATATGCTACTGTTATTGCTCTGCAGCAAAACCTGTTCATATTTGCTTAGTCAAAGTGAACAACGTAGCACTTTAGTCTGAAACCAAATACTGTGTGTGGTTTTAGTGGCTCAGGACACACCTACCATAAATCCTAACTAAACACTTACTTATTAAAAAATGTATAATCCCTCCGGGTTCACTGTTTACTGCAGGTTCATTGTGGTGTGCCACACTTTATCTTAGATTAGTGAATTCAATCAATTTGTTACTGGAAGGAACAAATATCAAAAATTATTTTTGATGATTTATTAACTGCTTTAATGCTTTAAAAAAAAGCAGTTTTCAGCGACTAATATATGGAGTTCTTCTACCTTTTCTGTTTGATATCACAATTAATTGAAGATCTTTAGGTTTTTGAGCGAAAAAACAAGATATTTAAAAACATCACCTCTGAATTTTAGAAACCGAGATGAACGTTTAACCTGGTTTATAAAATAATTGTAATTTTAATGGAACATCTCTTAGTTGTTGCCCTATTTTTTACTGTTTTCAGAATCAGAATAACTTTATTTGTCCCACAGAGGGGAATTGTTTGTATCATCCTGGACTATAGAAGTATTAAAACGCCAGTGTTCAGAGTGTCCATGCTCTGCCCTTGAACCCTCTGCCCTGTGAGTGGTATCCTGGTGGCAGTCTCCTTCAGCCTTAGGAAGACTGGATCTATTGTTCCTAAACTGCCCGTGAACTTGTCATTGTGAAAGCGCCTGTTACTCGATAGGGAGTCAATATTTGTTGTTTGGCCAGGAAGTTTATTTCTTTATTCATCCTTTTAATATTTTGTTAAGGAGTGGTCCCCTCGTGACAAAGAAGCCGTCATAAAGGTTTCAGAACATGACATTGACTATTCATTCCCAGCTAAGACAAACAGTTTTGAAATAACAAGATAAGAGCGATAAAAAACGGTGAGGGTTGGGGAGTGGGGGGGTGGTTAGGTAATAGGCAAACACAAACAGGGTTTGTACAGTGGTGTTATTGTTTGGACTGGGTATGGAATCACTCCTCCACCCGCAAACGATCGCCATGGGCACAGGCGTGGAGCGCCGCGTTGTGTGTGTGTCAGATGTCTGGCAAACACACACACCCCTTGAGTAAAGCATTTTGTGGTGATATTGCTATTGTATAACTGTATTGCTGATGGATTTCACAACAGTCTAAGAACATCCTGTTTACACTGTGTCAACACCAAATACCTGTGAGGCATCTCACTTTATCAAAAGACTTGGTGTCTTTAACTCAAACCTCTTTTCACTTTTTAATTCACTTTCTCATGAGTGAACTGTTAAAGCAATTGGGTTTAAATAATCAATTGCATCAGAACAACAGGCCGGCTCTGTTGTGATTGGTCAACCGCTTAGCGATTTCCCGCCTGTTAGTCTATCACGTACAATGTGTTGGAGCGCTAGCCAATAGAAGCACAAGGGTTGCTTAGTGATGTCACTATGTTCTGGAAGTAAACGAAGGAGTCCAATGGAGGCTTTTGGACAGGGGGGGGGGGGTTTGGGAGATAAACTTTGGGATTTTAATGTTTGTATCAGCTTATTATCTGAATCTAAAAATAAACTAGTGATTAAAGTCTCATAACAATGCAGTAAAAGGTATTAAGTAACATAGACTGAAAAGACTGGTAATAACTGGTTCTGAGGAATGTTTCCCCATTCAGCCAACAATTTGAAGTGAGTTGTATGCAAATTTCTCTAAGGTCTGGAATGTTCAGTCAGTGTTGCCCTTTTCTGACAACCGGTTGAACCTGGTTGGTTTGCGTATCCGTCGACGGTAAACTCCGTGCCTCCTACAGCTGTTGCAACACTCGGGCTTCTTGTGCTCCAGGCCCCCTCGGTTTGTCTTCCTATCCTACACATTTTCTGCTTGACTGTTTGAAGTTATTGATGACCTTTCTGTTTTCCACATCACTAAACTCTTTCATGCATCAGCGGGCCAGGGCCTGTGGTGCCCAGATCTAATCTGCAATACTCAGCTAGCAGTTAGCACGGCGTTGGAAGTGATGAGTTGATCTGCTCCGTTTGGGTCCCGCTGATTATGGATTCAAAGTTGCAGGGGGAGGGGGCAGTAAATTGGCATGACTTTTTAACTGATTATTTCCTTCGTTACAAAGTGTAGATATCCATATGATTGATTTAGGAAGCCAGTGTATTATTTTCCCATGTGCAGAGACAAAAAAGGGAACAAAGGGTTTTCAGATAACAGGTCACTGTAACAGAGTAATGCAATGCAAGCAGGTGTGTAATCTGCAGTTGTGTTTCATATAGTACCAAGCTCATTTTTTCATCAGTCTCCTGCTGAGTAGCATCATCGACTGAGACAGATTACTGTCATGTTTCCCTGCTAAAACGACGGACTGAAGGAATGCATTTGAATCAGCCGTTCTTACTAATTAAGTACAAACCTCGCAGATAGCGGTTTTGAGTGAAAAACAATTGCTCACATTATCTGGAGTGTAATTTGTTTCTGTCGTCGTAAATTCTTTTGACGTTAATGTTCAAAGTGTTGGAAGCGGCCAGACGCTATCTGTTATAAATTACCACGACGTGTTTGGGGAGGATATAACTCTCATAAATATAAAATGTGATCCACCCTACCCTCCCCCATCTCACAAAAAGCCTGTCCTCTTGACCTGATAAGTGAGTCAGTGGCTGCTCGTGTTGCTCAGGTGTGTGTGTGTGTGTGTTTATGCTCACCCTGCGAGGTCGCTCTGCAAGAGAGTGAGTTCTTGAAGCTGCACAACATCATTTAAGCTGTCTGGGAGAGGCCAGTGGGACAGTGACAAGACAAATTTGTCGGTAATATGAAAGCAAAGAACGTGGCGAGCCATGAAGTGCTCAAGGAGCAGCGGCACATCGGGGACAGCGGCGGGTAATGCGGCTGACCTGTCAGTGATTGATACGTCCAGCAGTGGGCTACTGGTAATAGTTCCTGCGGCATTAGGACAGGACATATTTCAGGCCTAAGGGGTGCATATCAGCAGGCCGGTGATTACGGAAACATAAACAGGGGTGCAGTAAAGGTCCCAGCCCGGCGGAACAATAAACTAATAGCGATGTCACTGTCCCCCCACGGCACCCCGAGGAGTAACAGCTCGGTTTAAAGAGCCCGGAGCACTAGGGGCCATTTTTTATTTGGGGGGGGATGATGGCCTACAACTGATGTCATTATGAACCTTAAATCAACTTTCTGCTTGCTTGAACATGGTCACCTGGGTGCAGGGGGACAAGGACGGGAAAAGGTTGAAGAGCTCGGCCTGTCGGTGTGCCAGAGCTACCTGCCGAGGTGAAATTGAGTTGGGAGACCGGTGATCAATCAAGTGTCCCAACAACATACATTTTTTAAAGTGCCTGTCCGTGTTTCCCGGCCGTAATGAGCGGAACAGTTGTGTTGAAAAATGGAAAGGGGAAAGATAAACCAATCCGGCATTTAAAGGACGAACAAACCGGGGGACCCGAGGAAGAGGGTTTCCAGATCAATGTCATTATGTGTCCCACAGTAATCAGATGGAGAGCATTTCGCCCCAAACACAAAATATAATACCCTCCGAGACGTTTCTGTAATGACATTTTATTGTCATTTATGTGGAATCATGAGCCATAGCTGTTGTTGGGTTTGAAGAGGTTAGGGTTAGGTAGGAGTAGGGAGAGGGACGAGCAATAAAACTAAGGACTAGATCCAGGAGGAGACAGCCTGGTCCCACTCCGTTACCTCTCTCATCAGACCGCTCTATCCGCTGCGGTTTCATCTGAGTAAACAGTGGCGTCGGGGTCACCGGGACTGCTGGGTAATTGAGCCAGTGTGGGCCGCCCTGTCAAGCACATCGGCTAAAAATACATCGCCCACTGTCACCGGGCACCAAGTGGGGGGAAAATGATTGTTCCCACTGTCGGAGCACAGGACACTCGCATCAACGGTGACCTTCCACTTCAAGACCAGCTTTCATAGACACAGAAAAAAAACTTTGACTCCAAAGTTAAAGCGTCGAAACAACAATGGATCCTTTGAAAAATGCAATGGCAAATGAGCACTCGGTGGATTAGCATGCTGTAACACAGAGCGCAATATTAAGCATGTTTAGCCTGTCATGGACGTGCGCTTCGATTAGAGCACATCAAGGCGTTGAAGAGAATACGGGAGAATACAGGCCGGCAGAATGGAGCGGGCGTGTTGAGATATTCCAATGAGGAAAGACGCTCCTTGGAACGTGGAAAGGTTATTGATTTGTCCTGTACTCATTTCCTGCTCTTTGATATGCAAACGATCTAGTGTGAATTTACAGCAATCCTATCAGACTCATTTCACAGTTCTTAGCCCCTGCGTCTCTCCGGAGTCCTCCGCCTCATTAGGCCAATGTTCTCCATTACCAGCATAATTAAAATCTTTAGTAGCTTATCAAATTAAAAATATTTTTTCGCTGATCGTATTGAGATCTTCACCTCACAGTTATTTTCCACAACAGGAATAAATTAAGACTAAGCATTTCGCACACAATGTATGACAATCTGGTGCTTGAAAGGAGCACTTCTGGTATCTATAGAGCTGGTGATGAGAAACGGGCAGGGGGGGGGTGTATAAACCCGAGAAGATAAGCATGTGCAAATCATCTTTCATTTGCCACTGCTCATTTGGAGAATGGATTTAATTAATTGTAATGTTAAACGAGCGGTCTTGCCCATTTGCTCTGTGGTTAAATTCGCCGCATATCTGAGGGCTTCTTTCAGCATGCTTGAAACATGTGGTTTATTTTAACACAGATTCGAATACCCCAATACAAATCCACACACATTCACCCTCTTAGATCTTTTAGTGGGCTATTAAAATGTACCCAGATGTTTTGACTGAAAATACAAATAGCTACATAACCGCACCCATGAAGGTTAATCTTATTGTTACATATCTCCTTCTTTATGTCGAATGAAAGCAGACTTGTGTAACAGACAGTAAAGATGGACACATATATAATATAACAAAGGCTCTCACAGAAATGAGGTTCACAAACAACAAGCATTATCCTTTATTTATCCCCTTGGTGTCGGAGATTGCTGTCACTCACACGCAGGAAAAAAACACGCTCTGTAAATGTTTTAAAGCCGACAGAAAAATGTCTTCCGTCTTCAAGGGATTTTTTTTTTTTTTTTTCAAAGGGCTGTGCGAGCTGCAGTGTGCTTGACTTGTTAAATGAGGTTTAAGTCTTCTGTGTCAATTGGAGGCGGTGCAGAGCTTTAAGTATTTTGCACATTAATGCGCTTTTGAGAATATTACCCCAGGGTCCTGTTTCTCAAGCAGGCAGGGGTGGGATGTTTTCCGAGCGTTGCTATTGTAAACTTTTCTGTTGTGTATGTTCTGCGTATCTCTTGTTGTCGAGAGAAAATGACGGTGATTATTCAGATTTCATGCCTTGTCTGGGTGTTAATTATTTACTCTGAGCATGAAATCTGCGTGAATGCCAGGGATTTGTGTATACAAACACGCTCCAGATCACAGGGAGAAATGGGAGGGAGAGAAGGAGGTGGCGGAGAGAAAGAGA